CGTTTAACTAAGTTTTTGTTCCATTAATATTATGCCTCGTCAGGCGTGCATACGGAAAACAATAACTCTTCAAAAGCCTAAGAAGCACATTCAAACTAATTGGATTTTAACCGGTTTTCAAACTGTACAAACTTGGCAATAAGAATATTAGTTTTGGTTGACTCTGACAGAAAGCATTTCCATGCCCCAATTGTGTACAAAATGTATTAGGCCTGTAACTTTGTCTTTGATAATAATTTCAAATGTACAAAGAAGACACAGCTAATGTTCGGGCGCCCAATAACGAGAACGACGACGATGATGATAACGTTAACGATATCATACGGTATACTGTACAGTACATGTTCATTCCATGTTTTTTTAAATAAAAAGAAACACGTTTTAAAAATTACTATTGAGTTGGTGAAAATTTGGGGGTAGTGTATAGTTTAATTTAACAATGGAAGCTTTTTAAATTCAAGGAAACAACATGAAAAAAAAGAATAATATTCCATCGTAATGCTTTTCTGTTTCCTTTTTTTTTATTGTACATTCCATACGTATTATGTAAACGAACTGTGTAAGCTCCGCTTTATGGAATCTAAACCTGGTGTGTAGCGCCCTCAAAAGGTTTTCACACGATCGATCGCATACATTGTTGCGTTGTGGTTGTGTGGAGTGGAATAGATTGTATTGTGTTTGCTATTTGCTTAATGTTGGATAAGGATAAGTATTATATCAACACTGCAGTACCCGCTGCTTACTTGGACTCGAATTCAACCCTGGCCATCAGGCGCAAGCTCGGTGGTCTAGAGGTATGATGCCAAGCTAGTGATCTGGAGATCGTGGGTTCGAGTCCCACCTGAGAACAACGATTTTTTTTGCAATTGTTTTCAAACGTACTGAGTAATCAGTACATTTCCACGTCATGAAGGGCAAAAAAATTATATAAGTATTGTGCAGATTATGACGTGAATAACTGGATACGAGCAACAAGCCTGTAGTATATTCCTTCACATACTATATATATTAGTAGGCATATATAGCTGTGTTTTATCAGGTAAATAACGAATACGATTAATAAATGTTTAAAATAGTGCTAAGTTAACGAATGATGGCAGAGGAGAAAACGGACACACCACCAACAATCGCAGTAACTAGCAGTAATGTAACGATTACGACCGTACCTGAGAATGGACACGATGGGGCTAGGCCGGATGTTAGTGGGCCCTTAAGAGCAGTTGTCTGTAAAAATCAAAGAAATTTCAAAAATAGTGGCAGACTCAAAAAATGGATTTCTTTCAAATTTTGCACATGGTTATACCTCTGTTAAGAGAAATCAAATATGAAATTTGATTCACTTTGTGCGTATATTTCCATGGCAACGTGTAAATTTGTATTTTTGGCAATTTTTGTCATTTTTGGCTGTTTTTAAATGTTAATTTCAGTAATAATTTGATACAATATTTCTGATATCCTTATAGTTTATTCATCAAAAATAATGAGTGTGTGTATAAGGTCAATACATTGGGTATCTGTTGCATATTTTTTAATGTTTTTTGGATTTTATAGTTGGGAAATACCATCTTTTTAACCAGGGGTTTTCTTTTTTTTCAAATTATGAAAAACGTCCAAATTTTAATTGCTCATAAACCTCAAAGTGGTGCTTTTTTAAAGCTGGTTTTCTAAAAATAGGTAGTCCTAATGCTCCCTTAGAGAATTCCAGTTTAAAAAATGTGGGTAATTATAAAAAGTACGAACAGTGTTGCCAGAAAAACTGGCATTTTTTCATTTAAAAAAAATATAATAGTAAAATTTACCAGTTTTTTTTCGCTGATTTATTCATAGATTCCTTTGATCACAACAACAATAAATGTTTTTCTATACTTTAAGTAATGTTGTGATAAAAATAAAATAAATGTTTGTGGTATCAATGCTGTCATTTTTCTGTTTTAGCGGTATTTTAAACCCTTTTAAAGTGAGTTTATAATAACTTCACTTTTATACATACCAATTTCTGTCAGTGGTGTCACCAGTTGGACACGGCACCTTAACCTGCATGGGAATGCCAGTCCCTGAATAACACCCTCTCCTCCCTAACCACATCATGCAACACCCCTACCCCTTCTTGTCGGGACATGTCAGGAATTATTGTGAAAAAATATAAAGCTAATATATGGTCGTGGTAAGGGTGGTGCCAGGATTCGCCCGACAAGAAGCCTTATGTCCCAGATGGTGGTCCGATTACAGCATTCAGAGAATCTCGGAGCAGATTTTTTGGAAAATAAATATCTTGGCACATTTTGTTGCATTGCGGTGTTTCAAACACAAGCACAGAACAGCGATAATGAAAGGTGTAGTTTCATGGCTAAAGAGTGTACTTCCTAAGCTTACATCTGTATATTTAAGACACAACAATGCTGGCTGCTACCACTGTACAACTACACTACTTGCAACAAAAAAATTGCTGAAAAGACGAGGGTAAATGTGCAAATTCATGCAAACGAAGTTCATGTCATTGAAGATGGTTTTAAAATGAAACATGCTTTAGGATCAGATAGACGGTAAAACGTTGTTCCTATACCTTCTCAAATGTTGCAACATATTAAGAACTGCAAGTGGGATGGTATATCTTAATAATTTTGAATTTACAACTACAGGCATGGGCGGATCCAGAGATGTCCAAAAAGTGAGGGGGGGGGGGGACGAAAGTTGGGTTGATCGAGACAACACTGTCCTAGGGGGTCTGGGGGCATACCCACGCGAAATTGTTGTGTTCTAGACGCCCAAAATACCATTTGTGGTGTCTGGGCTATAATTTTTTTTTCTTTTCTTTGTTTTTTTTTTCTTTCTTTCTTTTACCTTCCAAAAGGAGGGGCGGGGCCGGGCCGGGCAGGAGTTTGAGTATGGAGGGCATATGACATTTGACCTGGTTCAGAAAGTGGAAAACAAATTTCAAAGATACAATAGTGTCTTTTGGTGTACATGAACCACCAAAATACAATTTTTAAAGAAATCATCACTGCGAAGGTGTCTGATGAACATCTACCAGTCTGTGCACAAGACCAACTTAGTAATGAAGGATACGTTTAATAATCATTTGTTTTTCTGTCCGGAAGATGGATTTATAAAGTCCTTACATGCTTCTGTGCTGTACACTAGAAAATCAGATAGTTACAGAAACACTTGAATGCAGACCGAGAATAAAAAACTGTTGGACAAAGCAGAGGTTATGCTAAAAGGCTTTCAACTGACACTTGCATATTACCATGGTTGCATTTTAATCTTCTAATGTCTAATCTTTCAAT